CTTCCATTTAAATCCTCTCTATCTGAAACTACTTTTTATAAAAATTATTCACTTTTTCCTGAAAGGATTTTTAACATCACTAAAAAGTGGAAATCAATTTTCTTTCTAAGATGGTGAATTTTAAGTTTTATGCAATATTCCACTCTAAAACATGTCAACTCTTTCATATTTTTTATTGCTTATTTTGATATCTGCCTTTGGCCTTTGCTAAGTTTAAAATATTTTTCTATTTAACTAGACACTACAAAGCCCACTGTTTCTTTCATAAAGCTACCAGAAAAACCATTTTTCATATTTTTACTTTTTAATAGGTTTCAGCAGCTGCTGTTTTAACAATAGGAAGAAGCTTTCAAATTCTTTGTTATTTTGATCACAGGTTTGGTTTGGTTACTCTTTGGAACCAAGAGAATCTTTACACATAAAAGCCAGTTTCTGATGCTGCTTTGGAATATTAAAAAACATCTTATATTTTTTAAATTTCCTTATCCAAATGTGATGAAAGCCTGTTTAAATTTACTGTCTCATGGAACAGATGAAATATAGGTGACTGAAAGTGACAAACACTGAAAATACTCAATATTGCTGGAATTATATTACTAACATTAAAATACTGTCATATTGATGAGCAAGATTCTATAAGGAATTATTTTCCTTACCAAATTCATCAAGCAATTTTATATAAAGTCTGTGGTTATACATACTGCCAGTCCTTTAAAAATACTGTCGTATTAACAAAGAACACTATAAAGAACTTACCAAATTGATGTCAGCAATGCTATATAAAGTCTGTAGTTATATAGACTCCTAGTCCTTTTAAAGGCTTCCTCACATTTTCCACAACTCAAATCATGAATAGGACCTACCTTCTTGGCTAAAATAATTGTAAAATTATATATATATATATATATATATATATATATATATATATATAAAACTATACTCGTTTCAAAAAACCTTCAAATTTTGATTTGCCAATAATCAAATCAATCACGAAGGAAAAAAAAAGTTTTTAAAAAAGAAAGAGCTAGAAACAGGAAAGTCTGTCGAAAAAATTGCACAGATACAGGTTCAAAGCCCAAAGAAAAAAAACCCGACATGAGTAAACAACTAACTAAAAAGAGCTCAGTGCAACCATAGAGCGTACCTAGATAAACCTAGTGAGCCAGACAAACCTACCATGTTTCACCCAAAGCGGATCGTCAGGGAAAGCTGGCTAAAAATAGGCAAAAAAGTATAGCATTGATTGTCGCCAACAATCAAAACTATACCACGTGACCAAGTAGCCAGTTTTGATTGACGATCCGGTTAGGTGAAACCTGGGTAGGTTTGTCTGGCTTTACTAGGTTTGACTATATATATATATATATATATTTAGTTTTAAGGTATGCTGTATTTATGGGATAAAGTGCTCAATATCAGAGACAGAGAGTATGTAAATATAAAATATAAAAGTGGACTCTGAAGTCAATATTCAGAGATGACAGATTGTTTCCTGCTAAACGCAATCGTCAAGCCACCAGACATGGCCTGGCTAATGTATTTAGCAGGAAACTGTCTGTTACCTCTGAGTGTTGGTATCAATGCCCACTTTTTATATTTTATACATACATACATATATATATATATATATATATATATATATATATATATATATATATATATATATATATATATCACCAGGGCCATCAGTATCCAAGTCCAAATAAAAGCCATAATTTAAATTTTCTCAGTAGGTAGGCTATATCTAAAAGTGGATAGGCTCAATACAATTTTCTTAATGACTATATAATTCCACATTTATGTTTGTGTCATAATGGGCTAAGCTTAGTTTGTACCAAGGAAAGCACATATATTTCACAAGTTTGAACCTAGGAAAAAATCTATATTCCAAATTCAGATTTTCTAGGCAGGCAGTCATCCATTTCAAAGACTGGCATAACACTGTCATTTTTCCAGTTTTGCCTTATATCTTTTATATACTGTGCACATTCAGGACATAAAGGATCATAGCTCTCTACAACTTCCTATCATTTATAACCCTTAACAATGATTGTCTTTTTATTTTCCCTCCAACTCCTTATTTTGCTATCTATTTACAAAAACTTGTTAGCTAAATTACTTGCTGTTAGCCTCTGCTCCTCTTGCCTTCATATGTTCCAGAAATTTCAACTGTCTCTTTCTACAAGTGTCCTTTTTGTTCCCATTTTCCTTAATTAAAACTTCTTTGCTGCTCACATGTTCTGTCCATGGTATTCTCAGCATCCTTCTGTAGAAGCATATCTGTGTTGCCTCAAGACTTCTCTTCATCTGTGAATATTCAGCATTCACTGTCATATAGAAGGATTGACATTACATTGCAAATTTCTTCAAAGTACTGACACATACAGTAGTGACAGTTTGTTTTTAAACACAAGATTTTCCTTTATGACTGTGATAGTGTCAGTTGAATATAACTCTAATATAACTAAACTTTTATTTCTAGTTTATGTCTTCCAGATTCAGGGATTTTAAAAATTGATAAAATCTTTTCAAAATACATACTTTTAGAATCTCTAATATGTTGTAAAATTTTTAACTTAGAAAAACTGTTCATCATTTTGAGTAGAGTTATTATCATTACATCAGTTGTGTAGACTACAGTGTGGATATGCAGGTGGTGTAATGAATAGCAGTGTGAAATAAGAAATTGGAGAGATGAGTTCAAATTTTAGTCAGTTTTGTTAAATTCATTTAAAATACTCTAGGGAAAGGTATGAATCCATCTCCTCTGTCCAGGTTAAAAAGTAGAACTTGAAAATCATTATTGTTCTCATAAAATTGTTATTGCAATATTCACTCACAAGATAGAGAATTATTCTTACAATCCAAAATATGTTTCAGCTTAAAATCACCCACAAAATAAGCTGGGAATACAAATCAATCAATCAATCAGACTATGGAACTAATTCTTGAAATATTTCTGTGAAATTGAAACAACTCAATAGAACTTACAAAACTATTTAATCCATATCTTGTGAGTTCACTTCTTAAAATTTTGTTATTTATTTCTTCTAGTACTAGGGTTTTTAAAAATTCATACCAAGTCCTCAAAAATATTCAACTTAAAAATGATTAATAATGTTCTGCTAAGTTCATAATCAACTTACAAAACTACAGGCTGTGATGAGTAGATTGTCACCATTTCATATTTTTAATTATGTGCATGCATGTTGTTTGTTTTTTATTTTGTCAAAAGCAGCATATAGTAGGATCAGTTGGGCACCGTCTCTGAGAAAAAGAACACCATGACGCAATTCACTCTGACAGAAATTTGAAAACGCATGCTGTACTGCTTGGTATTCGTACTGGAAGTTCTGATATGAACATTTCAGAGTGTTTGAATGTCAATCTGAGGACAGTGCAGAGGATTCAGAAAGAGTTGGATGAGTCTAATGGTGATTACAAAGGTGCTTGGAGTGATAACTAGTGATAATGACATTATGCCTCCATTCATCTTCCCACAGGGCCACAGACTCAACACAGAAGCCTATATCAAGAGCCTTGAGAAGTTAGTGCTGCCCTGGGTCAAGAGAGTAGCTTCTGGAAGACCCTATGCCTGCCAATGGGACTTTACACCATGGCACACAAGCAAGAGAACCCAGTCATAGCTGTCAGAAAATTCTTACAACCACATCAACCCTTACATCTGGCCACCTAACTCCCCAAACTGCAACCCCCTTGATTATTATGTGTGGGGTGCAGTTGAGTGAAAGATCAACAAAACTTGTAAAACCAAAGATGAACTAAATGCAAGGATTATAGCAGCATTCACCAACTTAAACATTGAGACTGTCCAGAAGAATTGTAGAATATTTTGAAGCAATCTGGAGGTCATGGTTGAAGCCAATGGGTATTTTATTGAATAAATTTACTCTTTAGTATTTCAAGATATTTTTATGTAATTTTTGTAAATATATCTGTTAAAATGAGATGTCATTGTTATTTTCATTTTTGCATAATTTAGATGACAATTTATCCATCGCACCCTGTATTAGCATTTCATTAAACTACTCAACCTGTCGCATCACTCAGTGAGTGCTACTAGGACTATATGACCCATTACTACCAGCTGCATTGTTGGGTCATCAGTGACTAAACCAGATTTTACTGGTGAGGAGGCAGATAGACACTCAGCAGGATTAAAAGCCAGCCTTGTCAAAGGGCAGATGAACCTTCTTGTAGGGTCAACAATGATCTAGGGCTGATAGTGCTACATACATATGTATGCAAACTATGCAGTAATGACATCATTGGATAAAGAGTTTCCTAAACTGAAGTCAAAAGCAAGGACAGAGGGGTCAAATTGGAAGGTATTGTCTATGGTTTCACCTAGACAGGCATGGGCTCCAACTAGGTCCATTTACCCAAGACAAACTACACATGAATGAATGCCTTTATAGCTTTCAACACAGATATGGAACTAGTCAGGTTTTCAGATGTGCAGTAACACTATGACCACACCAGGTCATGGGACTGATGATCATGATGATAAGTCAGTCTGTCAATCTGCCATCAGTATTCAGTTTGAATTATAAGTGAACAATAATCTTTATCTGCACTGTTTACTGATGCCTGCAGATTTGCAGTTTGTGTAGTTATAATGAAAAGCAACTGTAATTAAGATGAAAGAAATAATAATAAAAAGATAATAATTGCAGATTTGTATTGTCTCATTTAGATAACTTGTGCTAATTGCAAATTGGTCTTCTTTTCCCTGTGTATCAAATACTGGCAATTAAACATGACAGAATAATGACATATTTATAATGTTTAATAAACAGGCTAATATTTCTTGTTATTGCAGGAACCATGGCCAGATTCTCTTCATGGTTGTCTAGATGATGAAAATGCCCACTTCTCAATATTGAAAAATACTGAAGCTGAAAACAAAGATGAAGATGAGAATGAAGAAAAAAAGAACATTGTCAACAAAAACACCAAGATACTTCACACTCCAGGCTATGATTATCAGGTAATAGTTTTTGTCTAGCACTCAAAATATCATCAAATATTGACAAACAGTTTTTGTATCATATTCTTGGGAATTTTCCCTCCTTTTTTTTCAGTCTTATCTGCAGAGAATTTTAAAATATTGCCTTTTCATCATGAAAACAAAAATAAATTGTGCTTTTAAAAAAATGCTAATTGGTTTGGATGTTTTGATGCAATTTTGAAGCAAAATCAGATCTAATCTGTCAACAACAGAAAGAACACCAGAAAAAACTAAACCCAAAATACTGGTTAAAAATAAATATACTGATATGAACTTTGAGAATATGCAGTACAATCATAAAAAGTGTTAAAAATGAATAACATTTTAAAATTTATAATTGAAATTTCTAGAATTCATAATGAGGAAAAGGGGCTTGGAGAATTTGATACTTACAGAGCATATTGAAGAGGAACAGAGGGAAACAGCAAGTAACCTATTTAATAAGCCTGTGTTAATGGATGGCAGAACAAGTATTAGAAGGAATAGTAAAAAGATAAACATTACTTAGAGCTACCAGGAATAGGAATTTGTGGAGAGCTTTCATTGTCCATGTCCAGAAAGGACATGGCACATAAAAGAAAATACAAAAAATCAAACATTCTGATTTGATCCAAAAAGTGTATCATTCTGAGGAATGATAATGCAAGCATACACTCTCTAAAATAAACTTAGAAGAACAAATTGTTATGTTGGAAAGATATAGTTGAGCATACCAAACTAGGTTTAATACTTTGATTTTCTTCATTTATTCAAATGATCAGAACAATTTTTGTGGCCAAATTTGTAAAAGTAGGCAAGTTATTAGTTCAGCATGACAGCAATTCTTTTCATACAGAATCCAAAATTCTTTCAATAAGGATTAAAAAAATTTATTTCAAAATAACATGTTGTCATTGCTCATAATTGAAGTGATATATATATATATATATATATATATATATATATATATATATATATATATCGCTTGAGGATGAAATGGAACTAGTGTCTTTAATTTAATCACAAAATTAAATTCGTGGCTTTTAGCTTCCATTTTTGAAACATGGTTAGAACTGTGCAGCGAAAAACCATATTTCAAATCAATTAATTTATAATATTAATGCTCTGTAAATTTACATTGAGCACTATTTTGTAAAAATAAAAAATATCTATAAGAACACCGGATTATATATCTTGCTGTTCTTTCTTTTTTATTTATATATATATATATATATATATATATATATATATATATATATATATATATATATATATATATATATATATATATATGTAAGCAAATATATGGATATAGATCCGACAGTATGAAGAAAATATATATATATATATATATATATATATATAAATATTTGCTGAAGTGGTATCTATGCCACCACATATGTTTGCAACAAAATGATACCAAAAATAGGCAAAATACAAAACAGTGTGAGATTTTATGAAATATCTACTCCATAAAATAGGATTTTTTTTAATCGAAATCACCCCAAGCAAGGCAGTAATACCACTAAAGCACAAAGAGTTACAGGGTGTGGAAAAATTAGAAACAGAAACATTAATTATGAATAAAAAATGAAGAGAGCAATCATGAGGTCAGTAAATAGTGATTGATATTGCATTTAATTTTTTGCAGAATAAAGTTGGCTGGAAAGCATTGAGCCAGAAGGGAGTTCCACAAGCAAGAAGTGTGAAAAAAGAAAATGTTACCATAGAACTTATGGTTACATGTTGCCACCTCAACTGTAAATTGATGCCAGTCTAGTGCCATGCTTAAATTCAAAAACTTTAGGTACCATAGCAAAAAGTTCATTTAAACAATTACTATGAAAGTATTTATAGTAAATACATAGAGAGGCAACCTTATAGTGGTGGTAAAGTTACTGGAGCTGAGCTGCCAGATCAGGACCAATAATATTGCAGATTCTTCTTTGGATCTTGAGCTCCTTGATAAGATCCAAAGAAGAATCTGCAATAGGTAATTAGCAGGGGCACCAGACCATATGTGGCAGCAATATATGTGGATGAATGGTAGATTTATATATATGTAAGATAGATTCTGGAGAGAAAAATTGTCTCGCCCGACATAGTGCACCAAATTTCTTAGCAGCTGACCTAACAATGGATTCAATGTAGTCTTTCCACTTCATATCAGCAGAGAACATGAGCCTGGAAGGCACAATGATTGACTTTCCTGAAGGATAGCATCAACCATGCTGATGGAAGGCAGCAAGGGGTCTCCCAGAGGATTAATGGAGAGAAGCTTAGTTTTGGGGGTATTAAAATTAACAAGCCATCTTTTGCTCCACTTAACTACAGACTTAAGGTAGTTTTGGACATTGGCTACCATTTTGAACTTGTCAGACTGATAAGCCTCACTATTGAGTTAGGAGTAAATTGTTGTGTCATTAGCGTAAATACCAAGTTGAGAGTTGATGTCATCAGGAAGGTCATTAATGAAAATTAAAAACAGAGTAGGACCAAGGATGGAACCCTGGGTGACACCTGCACTAGTACGAAAGCATCTAAACCAGTGGCCATTCAGGATAATTCTCATATAAAATAATAAAGGTTTATCAGTGGAAAATGTATGATTTTCTTTAACCACAGAGTCTGCATGTCTATGTTTCTGAAAAAAAAAAACTACTTACATGACCAACTGAAGAGGAGCACATTTTGTTAAGGTCAATAACCCTATGCACTTGGTGAACAAAAAAAAGGAAGAAGGAGTTTCTTTTTGAAAGCATGGCTTTTTAAATGCACCAGTTAGCTGCTGCTGTTGCTACTACACTATTGGCTTCTGCCACTATGTATCTTCTCTACAGCCAATAATCTGTGGCAAGGCTTAAACTTATAATGATGACTATCTTCTTTACAGTTAAAGTTAGTTTCTTACTGCTGAATAAATTTTTATTCCATCTACCAAAATACAACATTTTCTTTTTAAACAACTCAGTTGAAAGCTTATTTTGTGGCTGAAACAATGTTTTCCAACATGCCAACATCAAAACCAAGTGTAATATTTTGGTGAACATTTGGTTCTGTATATTAGGAACATGTAGAAAAAAGTAAAACGCTAATAGTAGATATTTATTGTCAAGAACAAGAGAAGTTTAAAGATTTATACAGAGAATATTCTGAAATCAGCAGAAATTGCGTCACTCTTCAGAATGACAATGCAAAATTATTTTACACTTTGTAAAATAAACTCAGATGAAATTGCTAATTTGGAAAGACCTACTTCAGCATCCCATTTCACTTCAACTTTCTATTTAATCAGATCATCACAATATCTTCTTAATGGCATAACCTTTAAAAATAGAAAAAAGATCAGTTCAACACAGTATTCTTTTCCTCCTGAATCTTAGATTCTTTCAACAAGGAATAAAATGCTTAGTTTCAAATTGAACATTTATCATTGCTTATAGTGAGGATTATGTTCTTGATAAATAAGTTTAAATATGACATTATTTTTGAAACACTCTCATATTTTTATATTCTTTTATATATACTGGCAAGTAAGAAATAAATTGAATGTAATCTCTGTCTTCAAGTGCAATGTCTCTACAGGATATTTGTTTTATTCTACTTCAGTCAAGATCAAAAAGTCCACAAACGAACACTGCACTTGACTGTGAACTCTATAACAATTTTAATGGCTATATAGTATTTGCTTTGCCAGGGATACATACACTAGACTGGTTGCCAACCATGGCTAGAGAGCCCAATCTGCCCTGCTGTTTAATCCACAGCTTTGGAGAGAAGGAATGGATTCATACCTTTCACAAGGGTATATGTGCAAAAGTAAATGTAATGAACTTGGGCAGAATTTGGACTCAGTTTGCCAATTTCTCTTTTCAAGCTATTAACTATTAAAGTACCCACACATCTAATATTGATGGTGATCATGTTTCTCCATAGTTTCTTTTTCTTTAATATCTGTATACTTTGCATTGGCATGAAAGTTTGTAGGAAAGACAGTAGAGAAATTTCCTGTTACTTTATCACAGTTTTGAATACATGTTGTCCTTCTTCACTGGCTGGCAAAGAGTCCAGTCTTCCATGCTATTTACCATATATCTAGGAAGAGAAGAGCGTCAGTGCAAAAAGAATAGGAATTGACTCAGCTGAATTTTGAACTCAGCTCTCTAATTCAATTTTCCACCCTGTTAACCATTAGTCTGCTTGCACCTCCATTTGAATGTAATAATGAGGTAGAAAATCTTAATGCACATCATCATATCTTTGTGCTGATATATATATATATATGTTTCACCATTTTACTACATTTGTTTAAATTAGGTATGATTACAGAAAACACTATACCTAAATATTAAAATTAATTTTTAAAAATGAAAAATCTTTCTTGAAGCTTTTATTTTAGTTTTAATTTCATGCTAATAGAGTAAATTCAATATTTCCAATGAGCAAAATACTTTGCTGTATTTCAAAACTAACTTAAATTGACTGGAAGGAGTTTTTTGTTTTTTGTTTTGTTTTGTTTTGTTTTTTTGCTAAAATAGCTGATTAGTGCCCTTTTTTAGCCATCTTCATTGCAATGTAATAATAAGAATCTTCAAAAAATAAATTATACTTTTCTTCAACTTTATTTGAGGAATATTAACTGATTTAAAGTTTAATTTGAAATTAAACTGATTTGAAACAAATATTATTTACTTTAAGTTTAAAATATTGCAGAAATGCATTTTTAACACAGTAGTAGATGTTTATTTAAGCTTTTGGCATGTTAGACAGCTTGATGACAAATTGATGTTTATCTAATATTGTTCTAGGGAGACTTTTGTCATAAAAAATAATTGAATATAATGTGCACACCTTTTATATATAATTTTTAAGTAATCTTGAAAAAGTAAGAAAATATTCTCCCTAATCTAATGTTTTATTGAATGTTAGATACATTCTGGCTTTAAATTTATTATAATTATTACTCATTTTCTGATGTCATGTATGGGCTACTGTATCTA